GTACTACGACGCATACAAATTTCGCCAGAATAATCAACAAAAGAGCAAGTATACATAGTACGCATTTTTATATAAGGTAAAAATTCAATTAAACAAACTATTTTCTATAAGTATATAATAAAACCGATATATATTGGAATAATTTTGAATAAAAATTTTCTATAACTATATTATAAAACCGATATGACTCGTAAACAAAATCGAACATGTGAAAGCTGTGGGTACAGTATATATATTCAACACCACAAAAACTTCGTCAACATTATAATAGTAATAAAAATCCATGTCACCCCCGAGATTTACCAAATCAGAATCCAACTCCACCAGCTAATCCAGAAATAGAATTTCTCGAAGCATTGGGATTATTTGATCCTCCAGAAATTGCTGAGCCTATTCCATCTCCAGAAGCTGAAAGAGAATTTTTCGAAGCATTAGGAATATTAGAACCTATTCCACAATTTCATCAAACTGATATTATTAGTTATGGATGTGAATTATTAGATGACCATTATCAAGTTGAGATAGGAAAAGAAAGCATATATGCACAAGACCCTATCAATACGCTTGGGGTGCTTAGGGAACAAATAATAAATATTTTCAATAATCGATTTGACCTCACACATGGGTTCAAAACACGATTATGCCTCACAGGAAAAATGAGTCGATCAGCAAATTATCAGCAGGGGTTATTTGACGATGAAATAGAAGAAGATAATGGTGAAGAAGATTATAAAGAAGTTCCATTCAAAAATAAAGCAGTAGTAGTAACTGCTAAAGAAGATATCCCAAGAATCGTAGACGAACTTATTTGGGATATTGAAAATCGAATAGAAACCTATGTTGTTGATGGCTCAGGCTGGGTTTTTGAAGTATCGGAAGAAGTGAATATTGAAATGCCAATTTTCGTTCCATTAACTGCTAGTTCTCATCTCCCACTACCTAAGGGAATTCCCAAACGAAAGAATGGAATTATTAATATTAAAAATGAGGATGATCATTGCTTTGAATATTGTAATCTTGCAGAACTTTTCCCAGCACAACATCACCGAGAACGAGTTTCTTGGTATACCCCTCACTTAGGTAAGTTAAATTTCAATGGGATTCAATTTCCAGTAAAAGCTGACAATGATACAATGGAAAAGATTGAAAAACAAAATCCAACTATATCCGTATCAATTTATGGATGGAGTGAAAAAGAACTTATCCGAATTAGAATTGCACCTAAATCCAAAGTACATGATAAATGCAATCATAAAGAGGGGGATTGTCAACCACGTAAATTAATTCGACTTTTATTAATAACTGGCGATGATCCAAAAACAGGAGAACCATCACAGCATTATTGCTTAATTCAAGGAAGAGATGGCTTAGGAAAATTAGCAGGATACAACAAAACATTGTCGAAAGTTATATATTTGTGATTATTGCGTAAGCCACCGAACCCATGACCCCAAGATTGATGCTCAACATATGGAAGATTGTGAAGGAATTAATACCCCGGTACAAAGAACGGAAATGCCAAAGGAAGGTAAAAATATCTATAAATTTAGACTATATGAGCGAATGTTAGATGCGCCTTTTACTTGCACAGCAGATGCTGAAACTCTTTCCACTCTGATTGAAAAAAACCAAGGATCGAAAACGTCAGCAATCCAAGAACATAAAGTTATATCATTTGATTATATAATTAGACGTAGTGATGGCAAAACCAAAGCACCAGTAAAAATTAGAGGTGACGATCCTGCTGGAGAATTTATTAAAGCAATGGAAAAAGAAGTAGAACAATATCAAGACTTTCTCGCAGGAGGTCATATAATTCGAAATTCTGCAAAGAAATTAACCAAAATGTTGCAATCAGGAATAATACCAGAAGAGATAGCAGAAGATTATATTACCAATATTAATCATGGGAATTAGGTAAAATTAATCTCAATTTCAGTAAAGAATACGAGAAATTAATACATCTTAAACATTACTTAAAAGGTCTTTAACAAGCTCATAAAAGAGATCCCCTTGGAGTAGATATAGGAATAATGTACCGTTTAGCAAATACAATTTATTGTAGGCTCCGATGGCCTGGAGAGCCAATGAAAAAATTAACTACTCAAGAAGAAAAAATGCATAATTCAGCTAAAGAATGTTGGATATGTGAAAAGCCATTTGGAAAAGAAGATAATCTTAAAAAAGTTCGAGACCATGACCATATTACAGGTAACTATAGAGGTCCAGCCCATAGTATTTGTAATCTCCAACTACGAATCAAACCAGAGGAGTTCAAATTACCAATTCGTTTCCATAATTTAGGTAAGTTTGATGCTCATCTTATTTCCCAGGCTATGGGTCGAGTAAGTAAAGAAAAGATAAGTGCAATCCCACATAACATGGAAAGTTATCTCAGTCTCGATATTGGAAATCAAAGATACATGGATTCTTTACAACTTATGCCTGGATCCCTTGATTCTCATATATCTAACTTAGGAGCTGAACCATGCAAAGACGAAGTGGATGAAAATGGAAAATCTTTACCATGTAAAAAGCCCGGTCATCTTTACAGAATCGATTCTAATAGATGTTTTGCTCATCCAGAGAGATTTCCCATAACTAGAGAATATGGGGCAAAAGGAAGGGATGACTTAGTATTCCGTAAAGCTCCTTTTCCATATGATTGGTTTAATACACCGGAAAAAATGGATACTACTTCTCTTCCTCCTATTGAGACATTCGACAGCATTCTAAACAAATCTAAATGCTCAGAAAAAGCTTATAAAATCGCACAAGAGGTATGGAAATCCTTTGATATGAAAACATTCAGAGATTATCACGACTTTTATCTTAATCTTGATGTACTATTATTAGCAGATTGTTTAGAAGGATTTCGAAAATTAATGAAAGGTAAATTTGGTCTTGATATATCCCATTATGTATCTCTCCCTTCTTTTGCGGAGGATGCTCTATATAAAACTACAGGACAAGAAATCGAGTTATTTACTGATGATAATATGTATATCTTCTGTGAGAAAGGTATCCGAGGGGGTATTACAATGGTAAGTAATCGTCAAGTTAAAGCCAATAACCCTCAATGTCCCGATTTTGATCCAAACTCAGAAGAAGCCATGAAAAAACTCTATACTTGGCTATTATATGTTGATGCCAATGCATTATATACTGGAGCAATGATGCAAGCTATGCCAACAGGCGGACATAGATGGATAACGCCAGAAGAAACTCCAGTCCTTTTTAATAAATTAGCAAGTGTGAAATCCCTGATGATGCAGATAAAGGCTATATTTTGGAAGTTGATCTTGACTATCCATATAAATTACATAAAGCTCATACTTCATATCCTTTAGCTCCTGAAAATATCGAGATTTCTAAGGAGGAAATGAGTAAGTATGACCAGGATCTTATTAAGGAACTAAAACATTATACAAAGACTAAGAAACTCGTTCCAAATCTCAATAATAAGAAAAAGTATATAGTCCATTATCGAGCATTACAATTTTATATAAAGCAGGGAGTGGTACTTACCAAAATTCATCGAGCTATAGAATTTAACCAAAGCCCATGGATGAAGCCTTTTATGGAAGAATTAGCAAGATCCCGTGCTTTAGCTAAGAAAGATTTCGAGAAAAATATGTATAAGCTCCTTGGTAATGCAAACTATGGAAAGACTGTAGAGAATGTACGCAAATATCAAAGAATAGATTTCGTTAGACCAGAAGGAGAATCGAAAAAGTTTAAAAAATTAGTAGCTGATCCTAGTTACAAGTCGCATAGAATTTTAGCAGAGAATTTAGTAGGTATTTCTCGACATCAATCAAAAGCTAGACTTAGTAAACCGATCTTTATCGGTATGTCGGTCCTTGACGAAAGTAAGATTACTATGTATAATTTTTATTACAATATTATGAAAGCACGTTATGGAGATAATGTTGAGGTGGTATACACTGATACTGATTCACTTATCTTACTTATCCGAACTGAGAATGTCTATAAAGATATGGTAGAGATGCAAGAACATTTAGATTTTAGCGATTATAAGCCAGAACATCCTATATACCAAGCTCTCGGAAAAGAAAAGATTATGCTGAATAAGAAAGTTCCTGGTAAGTATAAGGATGAAAGTTGTGGTACTGCTATGTGGAAATTTTGCGGACCAAGACCTAAGCTCTATAGTTATATTCTTGCCGATGGGAAAACAGATCGAAGAGCTAAAGGCGTACAAAAGGTAGTAGTCAAAAAGAACCTTATCCATGATATGTATGAAGATTGTTTAAAATCTCGAAAAGAAACTATGATAACAATGCATAGATTGGGAAGTAAAGACCATATTATTAGACTTCTTCGTTCATCTAAAATTGGTATTAGCCCTTTGGATACTAAGAGATGGATTTTATCAGATGGAATTACTACATTAGCCTTTGGGGATTGGCGTATTATTGCGTATAAGAAAATGATTGGTAAAGGAATATCCCATGAAGAAGCTGAAAAAAGAATGACGAATCTAGAGTTAAAACCCCAATATCAATAGTAGATCAACTTACTTGTCTAAGTTGAGATACTTCTTTACTTATATTTCTTTATAATTTTTTTTTATCTAAATAATAATATATATTACAAAAAAATGACATCAACTAAAGTAAAAAAATCGCATTATCCCAATACTAAAAGGATATATGAAAAGCTTGATAAACTTGAGGAAAAATTCTGTTTATTGGAAGAAGAAATAGATGATCTTACAGATAAAGCATTAAAGATTAAGTGGGAAATAGGCAATATAACAAAGTCCTTATCACTAATCGATATCAATATCGAATAGACCATATGTTTCGAAATTTTTTTTATACATGATATAAAATAATTCTATTATCTTAATTAGCTTAAGAAACTCTTCATGTGGTACACGTTCTATTTTACTATTACGAACATAACTTACATCCTGCTCATGAAGTAAAATTCGTTTAGCAATAAATCCGCCAAGAGATAAAATCTCAAAATTATCGCCATACATTCCTTTTTCAACTAGCTTTTCTTTATATTCATTGATTTTTTTATTAATTTCGATATTACTAGAGCTCGACATGTTAAGTAATAATTGAATAAATATATAAAGTGAATAAAAACTCAATCTGTAATTATTTATCAAGATATAGATATATTTTTGTATAATAATAAAAATGACAGCACGAGATATGTTAACGGAATGCGGTCTAAATTTTATTAATCAGGTAGAAACATCAGAAGACTGGTTAAAGCTATCAAAACTTTATCCAGAAAAATATTTGAGATGCTATTTATTAATACCTGGTTATGATATTAAAAACAAAGACCAATGGGAAAACTTCATATTCCGTATTAAGAATAATTTATACATGAGAAAACAAATAGCATATAATCCAGAATTTAGAGAATTTAAAAAACAATTAGCAGAAACAACAATAATAAAAGCATAACAAAAATTCTGGATTATGCTCTTCATACTTATTTTTTATCTAATAATTTTAATAAACTATTACTATCTACCAGCGAATTGGCATTAGACACTGTTCTCACAATTTCGGTACGAGATGCTCGTGCATCACCTTGTCTTACTTCTTCCTTGCCTATTTTTAGTAAAATAAACACAAAGGACCCAATCTCAACAAATATTACTCTGACCAAAGCCTTGAACATATAAAGCAAATATAATTATACTGTATGAAGTTTACTCACGAGTTTGAATAGTTTCCACAGTTCCTGATTTGGATGATTTTGGATCGATAGGATGATTGATCTTAATAACATTTCTTTCGCTAGTCACGGAAACACTACTTTTGTTGGTCTTGGAAATATTGGGTTCGTTAGCTTTGGTGATAGATATTTCATTAGTGTTACTCATTTTTTCGTCCTAAATATAAAACAATGGTAAGTAAAATGTGTTTTATGGTCTTAATTAAATAACGGTATACTAAAAAAGTGGCATACTTCTTTGAATTAGTTGTAGAAAACGTTATTGGTACCCACCTTACAAGAGAAAAAAACCTTGTATTTTATACCATCTGGAGCCGTTAAATCTATTCCAAAATCCAAGTAATTTTCACCATTTTCTTTGGTTAGTCACACTGTAGAAAACCCCCTTAATTTCGACGATCTCTCCCGTGGAGTAACGATCTTGACGATCTGGGAATTCCAAATTCCCGCAATATATGATTTTGGGTAAAACTGCTGATAGAGAATGACAAACACATTCCCTTTATAATCTTTTTGAATCTAATTCGTGTTTTTTCTTATCTGGAGGAGCGTATAGGGTAAGAATTGATGTCAGTATTTATATTAGTAAAAATTACGTATTAAATCGACGAATCGGAATCGGCGTAGAAGTTGGTACAACATAGATTATCATTTTCATTAAGCGTTTCTTTAACCGGAGACTGGTTCGCACCAATGACAAAAGTATACGAAAAGTGAAGCTCAAAAAGGTAATGTGGAAGGTCAGCCAGACAATCTCTATTAGTGCGTATAACAAGGGGCTTATGTCGTAAGGAGTCGAAATCTTCGCAATCTCCGAGATCTACATGGGTTAACTAACTTTCGATTTACAGGAGCGATCTCGAACCAAAAGGGGTCTCATTCATGCGTCTATGACGAAACACTCGCATATTCATAGACCTTGGCGTTTAGTTACATATGACGACACTTTCTATGGAGGCTGAATTGTAACAGGTTTGAAGATTTCTCTATTTCTGGTATTTATATGATTTCAATATTCTATAAATCGGAGATTCGCTTGATAAATTTTGGATCATTCTAGTAAGTTTCGAAATAAATAAAGCATATAAAGATAAGCTGAATTTATCTTACATTGTATAGTTAACAACATTACTCAGGCGAAGTTGTTTCTTCTGAAAATTTCTTACATTCTCACATTTTTTACTTAAGGTATGTGTTATGAATAACAAAGTTTGTAAGCGAAAACTCTACTCACGATTGACCTATGAAATAAGATTTCGGTGAAATGGCAGACATTGTTAGTCTTAACTTTCAAATCGATGGAAACAATAATGAAAATGAAGTTTTTACAATTGAAATTTCCAACGACAAAAAGGTTGACGCCCTTAAACCTATCGTAAAAAAACGGTTGGCGCCTTTATTTGATACCATTCCTTCTACTCAAATCAAACTTAGTTTAACCCCAAATGGTGGGTCTATGAAACCAACGGTTAGAATTTCTAAATTTTTTAATGGGAATCCTGATGAAAATGAAATTCATGTTTATGTAACCCCTTCCAATAACTAGATTTTTTTATCTAGATTTTTTTATCTACATTTGCACCATGTCATATCAATGTATTTTACAATTTTATTTTTTGTATCCGCCTTAATACGGGCAAGTTTTTCATAATAATAAACCAACGACGTGTTAGGCGTGATTCAATGGTCTCATATCTAATCAGTTCGTGTAACTTCCATCGTAGTATATAAACCACCGATCACCCAAAAACAGATACGATAAAATTTTTCACTTGCATCGCATTACCTAGCTTTTATTAGCGAGATACATAAACAAGATTTTTTTTGATCATATCTATATAAAAATACCACTATGTCTTCACACGCTTCTTCACCATCCTCACCGGCTTCTACATCCACTACTTTGACGGAAGAAAGGTCAACCCGCACGATGGCAGACGTAGTTAGGGATTTCGATACCGAGGAACTTATTGACTATTTGCGGAGGCAAGATCTGAAACTTAATGAGTCGCATTTCAAGATTTTTCGGAAAGAGGAGATTTCTGGTTTTGCCTTTCTAGATATGACCAAGGAAGAATTCCGTGATATTGAGTTTGCATTGGGACCAGCAAAATCACTAGTGAAATTTATTGAGGGTCTAGATCAAAAACTACGAAGTTATTCATCGTATAAATCTCTGGACGACCTGAAAGAAATGCTACGTAAGAATAAGGTTAATGGGGAAGATATAACGAATATCAAGCAGTTCACACCTGGTAAGTGATACATTGTTTTCTTGGCTTTTTTTTTGGACGGGTCGCAAATTTCAGTTATGTAATATATTTTTTCTATAGTCTTCGAAGAAATAGACGACAACGACAAGGCCTTCAATCATTGTATAGATGACATAATCCTGAAACTTTCAAATGTGGAAACAATGACCGACGCCAATGAAGCAACACGTTGTGAATTCATTTCGGCCATCCTACATGCATCAATCGATATCGCTAAAGAACATACAAACGAAGATATTTTTATCGCTCTGCAGAAGGATATATCGGGTGAAGAATCCACAGGTCGAGTCGACTACGCGATCAAGAGCGTTGAGGATCTTCTTTGTATTACTGAGGCAAAACCACGTAATATCAGGATCGGTTATGCTCAAAATTTACCGGAACTTGAAAGTGCGTACCAGACCAATAAAAAGAAAAGAACGGCGGAACAAGCATTTGGGAACGATTATTTCGACTATCTATATGGGATCGTATCGACAGGTACGTGAAATTTTTCTTGGTATATATATATATTTGCTAATTATCTGATTCGTTCTCAGCTATGGAATGGCATTTCATTATATATACCCCGGAAGGAATATATGCCACGAGTAATAGCGAGCACCAGATAAATCTCTCCAAGACAGCAATCAAAGAAAATCTTTATACACTCCGAAATAATGTAAAAAGGGTAATCGGGATCATTGTTGGGTTGTTAAAAGATCGGATCAGCGTCGATAACTCTCCTGCCAGTAAGAGAGCAAGGATCAAAAAAATAACCAAAAAATAGTGGGTAGATTGTTCCCGCTTCATATGTATTTTTTATTGTATTAATAAAGCAATCAGACCTAAATGGTCGTTCTTTTTACATTTATTAAGGATAGTAAGCCTGCTTGTACAAGGTGTCATTTGGGATCATCACTCCGAGATGTGCAATTCCATTTCGGATATATGCTAATTTTGACTCATTCCTACCTGATCATATCTATTATTAATATGTCTCTTTCTACCCTCAAAGCCCTTGCGTATAATATCCTAAAAGAAATAGGAGACATCGCCCAAGATGCAGAAAATCTCGAACCACTTCAATGCTCAATATGCAAAGAAAAAATTTTAACACTTACATACCAATCGTTTACTGTTCTCGGGGGTTGTGGCCACATTTTTCACAGAATGTGTATCGAGAAAAAAATTCTGTACACAACACCAAGCATATGCCCTTTTACCGG